AATTTATAACTACTAAGTTTAAATTAAGAAACATAGTCAGAAACATCAATTTTCATCACACTGAAGTTAGCCAACACCCATTTGTCATCCCTATCAAATTAACTATCTGCTGTATGCCTGCCATTAAGTATTGCAAACAAGTTAGCAGCCAACTACATTTTTTAACTTGAACATAGTATAGAAACCAAATTTATAGGTTCTTAAACATTGAGAATATTATGCTTATTAAAATTAAAAACCAAAAAAAAATTATTCAGTTAGATCATTAAAAACTAGTAGAATGTGCTTAGTATACATGTTAACTTGAAAATATGCTTTCAATAATGCACCAACATGATATTTATTGGTTTTTATTATTTTTAGTTTTACTATGATATATATTTGTATCTAAAAATATATGTCATATGTATTTATCCAAAATACCTTATGAAATCACAAAAAAATTATCAAAATGTTCAATAGTAACTTTAAAAATATTTTATTTAATTCATGCCAAACTGCAATTAATAAAATATATTATGTGAAGTACATATATTAGGTGAACGATAACAGAACAATTAGATTACAATTAAAATTAAAACTAGAATAATTACAAACAAAATTCAGTATTAAAAATATACATATAGATAAATAAAGAGAGCAAACATATTTGAACAAACTATATGGCATTATAGGAGGTGGGAGTGAGTTGGAATATGAAAGGGTGTGTGATGTCTTGAAGGGTAAATATGAACGCGGAAATTAATAGAGGATAGGATATCTGGGGCTTCTATTAATCCATCAAGTAGACCTTGGATAAAACAGAGATCAGCAACAATACATCGAGAAGAAATCGTAGGGATTTTTAGCTTAAAAGCACAGATGAATAGTCATGAGGAGAGTGGTTGATTTTGAGTAAGAAAGAGATTTATGATAGTAACCTATTCTGGACTTTTTCTAGGGGTACCAAACGATCATACTATATCCTAAAATAGGGAGCACAAGAGACAAGTATAGAGACGAAAACAATGGACAGAGCTAAACATTTAAGTATTACACTTTATGAAACCAAAGACTTTTAGTGCTTTRTAGACAGTGACATGAATGTGGTGGTTGAAATCAAAGGAGGGACGACTAAAATGTATACTAAGATCTTTAATGATGAAGACACTTTAGAGGAGAACCAATGATATGGTAAGAGATCATTGGTAAAGCATGTGATCTATTGGATCAGACGTGATCTACTTTTAATATGTAACATATAAAGTATAATATGTCTTTTCTGATAAAAATATACAGTATAATGTATGATAAAGTTAACTGGAAAAACTGATTAGAGAAATAAATTTACCTTATTGCATAGCTTACAGGTCACTAAGTCTATTGTTTGTGAATTTATGTGTTTATCAATTACTATACATACAATACATTAATTACCGATCATACAAAGCGAAGTTTTGCTGAGGACTACTATAGTATCAGATGAATGGAAATCATACTTTAGTCTAAATGATATTGGCTATAATCATTTAACTGTCAAGAATCGGAATAATTTATTTACACATTATTTGGAAGATATAAAAAGTTWGTTTGATAAAAATGTTGACTAATACAAATTGTATCATTTTTTCACTAGACACAAAAACTTTAAAGCATTAAATATAATAATTTTTTTAATTGAATWACATTTTTATTACATAATATATTAATATTACATATTTATGCATAATTTTTATTTAACTAGTTACTTACTGTTTTATTGGTAGATCACATGCTTTACCAATGCCAATAAGAGTTTAGTGTTGGGTTAAGAAAAAGATTCCTAGCAGGTTCAGCTCGTATATTTGAAACTGCTTGGAACATTTAGTGTAACTATGATTATAGCATGAATAATAGGCTAAAAATAATATCTAAACCTCAAAATATATTAAATTCTACAAATTATATCTTCAAATCATCCACATCTTAACMCACCCATTAARCTATATAAACTAAAAAATTAAKAATTTGAAGCCGCTATACAAATTAGGACTACTGATTACAAATATGCTATGTTAAATGTTTAGTTCATAAAATGTGCTTTAATGCTACTGTAATTATAAAATAAAATGTCAAGTTAAGTTGATTTCCATTTTTAGTGGTATAATGCTATTTCAAACCACTTGTATACAGAATTAAAGTTTAGTTAGGTACMTACATATTMTTAAGTGACATRAAAAATTTATGATAATTTTAATTAGAGATTGGACTAATTTAAATTTTCAGGAACTCAAATTGTATTTGTTTCTTAAACTACTTAAAATTGAATCTTATTCAACCTTTCAAACTTAATCAAACCATAAGCATTTTACCATAACTAATTTAAAAACATAATAGTAACAAAACTATATAGTGTGTACAATTAGCGTAGAAAATAGGTCTTGAAATAAACACTGAAAAAACAAAGATAATAGAACTAATTAAGAGTGGGGAAGACCCCGTGAGAAAGGAAATTTAGCCTATGAAAAAGTCAATGATTTTAAATATCTGGGAGCAACGTTAAGTACAAAGAAAAAAAGTAATCGGATAAATCAAGCTCAAAAAGTCTTATGCACTGACAAAATTCTTTACATTCAAAATGTTATCTAGGAAAACGAAAGCAAGACTTTACATGGCTATTATTACACCAAAACTCATGTATGGTTGCAAAGCTTGGACGATGACCGAACGAACAGAGAGAAACCCGAGGACTTTTGAACACAAAATAGGGGACCAGTCATTTATGAAACAACGGGGAATTGGCAGAGGAGATACAATAGAGAGATGTACGATATGTTGGAACTAGGACCAGTAACAAGCATCATTAAGGGCCAAAGAATAAAATGGTTAGGTCACATAGTGAGAAGATGAGAGAACAAAGTAGTTAGAGTAGCATTGAAATGGAAACCACAAGGTAAAAGACTTGGAGGCAAACCTAGGAAAAGATAGATTGAAGGGGTAGAAAAAGACTTAAAAATCCTTGGAGTTGAGGACTGAAAAGCCAGCCCAAGATAGGTGACGAAGTTTAATAATGGCGGAAAAAACCCTTAGAGAGTAAAAATGCCAGAAAAAGTGTGTACAGTTAAAAAATAAGAAAAGAAAAATTGATTGYTGTCAATTTTCATACTTAAGTTAAGTATATCAAGTTTGGTTATGTTGATTTGTTTAAAATTTGGAATTTAAGAATTAGAATCGAAACTTAGAAAAGAGTTTGAGAACTTATTTCTTATTTTGTTTACATACTTATCRATCTTAGATTTTAGTATATACATTCATTTTTAATATTTATTGTTTTAGAATGCATTAATAAACAAAAATTGTTATAATCATACCTTTAAAATGTTCATCTTCAAGAACTTTATTAGGTATAGTATGATTTTCATCCTTTAGAAGTTTATTTAAATTTTCAGCAACATTTTCATTATTTTTAATTACTACTAACGTAACATCTTTGATAGGAAATTTATCATCAAAATCCTAGAAAAAATAAATAAATATTAAAAATGTTTCTAATATAAACTACCTTCTATATTACATAATACATAATTATTATATTTATATGTTTAGTTACAGAATTTTCATAAACAACTTACTATTGACAATGGCTCATACGTTGATAATAAGTTTGTAATATAGTTTGATGCTTCAATACTTAATAAATGAGACTTAATACCTTTGAGGCTAATTTCCATAATAGTTGAAGGAACCTAACAAACAATACATTGAATAATGTTAGCTTATAATCAACTTAAATGGTTAATGTTTATATTACCATAAAATCTGTGGGGATTTCAAATATTTTTGAAGAAGATACATTATCTTTATCACCAAAATCAATAAACTGTATTGAATAAGTAATGTCGTCAATTTTTTTTAAAACTTTTCCCCGATAAAAACTACCATCTAATGTAGACTGAGCTCCAACAATTTGACCAATTATCAAAGGCCTATTAATTGGTTTAGCTAAAATTAATATTTAATAACAAAGTTAATTCATAGTTAATTAAAAACTCATTTAATTTAATATGTAAATTTACCAGATAAACAAAATTCATTAACTTTGTCTAATAAATTTTGAAATTCATCATTGTAATCTTCTATTTTTCTAATATACATTTCATCCATATTGACAAAAGCCGTCAAATAAACTACACTGCCTGGTTTCAAGGTAGTAACATTACATTCTACTAATGATTGATCTAAAATTAAGGTATTAAGTTAATATAATAATAGCCCTAAAGTCCCAAATCCTTTAATGATTTAATTTAAACCTGATTTGAACTCTTCATCAATTTCAATCAAATCATTAATATTTATTTCCTTGATATTTTCAAACATCAATTCCTTTAAGCGATCATTGACATTTTCATTATCTTCAGTTTTAAATATTACTTCATTTGTGTTGTCTTCTATCGTGTCCTATTTTTAAATAAATTTAAGAAATGTCTGGTACAATAGTAAGACTAAAAAAAAACTTACTATTATCAAGATGTTGTCAGATATTGAAGTGATATATTGACGAGCTGCTTCATTTAATACACTAGATGAAACATTTTTCAGTTTAACCAAAACAATGGCAGGAATCACCTAAAAATAATGAGATATCACAAATAAATTATTATATCACTTTTCTGATGTAATCATTCTTCTCTATAAAATGAATAAATTGAAATATGCTTTAGAACAATTTACAATTTGAATAAGTTTTTTGATTTCAAGTAATTTCAGATTTTCGTTTTTTTAATTTTGGAGGATGTTGTCTCAAAAAAACAACTTTTACCAGAAAGTCATATTAAATTTTTAAATGATTGAAACTCAAATTTATGC